ATTCGTCGATAGAAACTTAACACCAAGATAACTCTCTGTATCATTTGATTACTAAATTATTAGCTGGTATTTTACAACCTGTTAGAAATCATATCAATAGATACAACTCTCTTGATTCATTTGATTTCATCGACTCAATTATAAATATCAATGTAAATGGTAAAAAAAACTGATCTCATTGGATGTCACTTCTCTTTCTATAAATGTTCCACTCATAAAAACTATGTAATTTCATGTGACTATATTGATAATAACAACCTTGATATTTGTATCTTAAAACATTATCTAAAAGAGCTACTTCTACGATGTATTTTCAATGTGCAATTTAGAGTTAACAATGATTTCTATAGACAAACCGACAGAGTTACAATGGGTCACATCACTGGGTCCCCTTTAGGCTGATTGTTTCATGACCAATCTAGAAAATATGGTACTTCGACCAATAATTGAGTGCCTTCATTCATATAAGAGATACATTGATGATACCTTCATTATCTGTGAAATTCTGAATCGAGTCAATAATTGTCATCACTCAATTCAATTCATATTGGAAGCAGATGATAACGAGGGATTTAATTTTCTTGATGTTTGGTTGGAAAGAAAGTCGGATGGTTCTTTACAGAAACCCACATAGAGAAAACCGACCCGGAATGATTAGTACACGAATTTCCATAGCTGGGTCCCATTGAGTAGAAAGAGAAACTTAGTTCACTCGTTATCCTCAAGGATTAGGCGAATATGGGCTAACGACTCAATAAATGGCGAACTACTTCAACTACAATAGACACTCATCAGAAATGGTTAGCCACCTAGATTTGTTGATAGGAACTTCATCTCAAATCACTTCACGATGCAATCTTTTCTATCCTTCTATAGACATATATTTACCACACAATCGTAAATACGAATGTGCAGCTTAAGCAAATAATTTCGTCGAAAAGAAAATTTCCTTGACTGAATTCTCTTTATTTTTACTCAATGACACAATGGGTTATTGTAGTTGTTATGTCAGTATTTTAATAACTAATCAAGTTGTCAGTTAAATTCAAATCGTAGGTTACATTCGTCAAAGACTGATACATGGTTGTGTACTATTGGAAATCAAGGAACACTCGACAGTTGTTTCGTCCAAATGTGAGACTGCTTAACAGATTTAGTTTCTGCGATCATATCATAAATCTGATGAGTTCCTAAAATTTATTGATTTATTTTGTGTAAAATACACATATCTGATGGGGAAAAAAAGTCAAAAAATGGGTCACCAAGAAAACGTCAAGAGATAACATTGCGAAGGAAAACAAAGAAAAAAAGGAGTATAACTGAGGAAAAAGAGAATAAGTGAACAAGAATAGTACATCGTAAAAAATACAATTCATCGTTAACAATATAACTGAAAAGCATTCCTTCAGTTAAGGTAGTTCCTATGATACTTTACAAAGAATATGAACGTAAAATACAAAGTTGACAATAGATATCAATTACTGGAAAATATACAAAAAGGAAGATATGATACTTCTTAATGAATGATAGGAGACATTTAAAGACAGTGAATAACAAAGATGACAATAATATTGAAGTTTTATTTTTTTTTAAAAATGGAGTTACATGCGACTTAATGTGTTAATGTTCAGACTAATACTTAAATCCAATACATGTTTGTTTTAAATTCTTAATGAGTTATTTACTGTGCTACTTATTTCACGTAGCCACTAACTTGTTTAACGAGTATGAAGGTAACGGAAAGATTTTATGATTACCATTTGCCTCATAAATGACTGACCAGTTACAGTTCTGAACATAAAACAATAAGAGACTATGGTTCTTCACTAAAAAGACTCTTTTAGATCTAAACATCAACAACTGTTAACACAATGATTTATTTGTATTGATTACTAGAATCATCCCGTTGATGTTATGAACAGTAGTTGATCAGTCAATTTTGACATCAATATTACCATTACGTCACAAACATCTCTAAGTATAAATGAATGGTGGTTAGCTGTGGAATGGAGAACGTTCTTTTTATCAACACTAGGTTGGGGATACATCCATCTGAGAAGTCCCGAATAAGTTAACACTGCTTTGTATCATAGAAAATTAAGTTTTAAAATTCATTTCACTACATATATATCAGCTAAGTTACTTTAAATAACTTATGAATAGAATTTTATTCTGATAACAAAAAAAGTACATAGCAGTAATGAATGCGCTTTATTTATATTACAATACCAGGTCACATATGCCGATTACTTGGTGTAATCAACTTTCCATGAATAAAGAAAAACAATGACAACAAGATGTTAAAAACATCAACACAGTCACACACACACAAACACACAAATATTTGTATGGAATGTTAAAAGTGGTTAAATTTTTATTAGTTTTTTTATTATCTGTGTAGATAGTGTTCATAAATGCCTGAAATCTGTTAGGAAAATTGAGGATACCAAGTAACCTATAGGTTGGTTTTGTCATAAATTAATCTCAGTTTAGGTAGCGTTAGAAACTAGAGTGAACTGAACAATTGCTTAGTCCCAATATGACACTCTTCAGAACTGCAGTAAGCGTCTATGATCAAGACGGGGATCAAATCCAGAATCTTAGGTTGTGCGACGACCACTTAGTTATGAGAATCGTTGTCCGACTGTATCTATTTCCAACTTTAGCCAATATCTGATATGGAGCAATGATCATTCAATAACATTGTGACAAATATTTGCTTAACGACGTCTGGACTTTGGAGGAAGAGACGTGAGATTGTTCTTATTAACTTCATACGACTAATCAACACAACCACTGTCATTTTGAAAATTTCAAACGGTTTATAAACGAATAAGTCGAGAAACAAATTTGTTCGAAATTTTGTATTACCACGTAGGGAAATTGGACGATGCGACCTGTAGCAAAGAAACACTATGAACTAAAGTTTTCAATGGTGGTTTAACATTCGTCAGTTCACGATTTCTATGAGACTCAACAACCTTCAGAACCGTATACTGATAATTAAAGTATTATTGAATGAGTTTTTATATACGGTCTAAAGTATTTTATGGATAGGTTAATAAACAAACACACATCGACAAAGACCCCTATACGACAAAAGCGCCTACATAAAAATTAATGATTAATTGAGCGAAAATATACACAAAATGTTGGATAGGACTGATATAATATACACTCGTTACCAACATGAGTTATTCTTTAAAACAATTTAGACAATAATAAGACTGTGTAGATATAGCCACTATTTAAGTCTGCTTAGAAATGCTTCTGACTGATGATAATGTTGAAGACGATCCAGAACGAAGTATCAATGATATACAGAAACATAATAACATTTTCTGTCAACCGCATCTAAATCAATTACAATAGTGATATAAACAATTTCACTTGATTAAATATTTTCAAACTGAACACTATCACTGAACTGTTTCAGCTTAATCCTTACATAAATAATAATAAGGCTGAAAATCAAGTAAAAAACTGATATAGGAATATGGAAGAACTGAAGTATGCACAACAAAACAAGACAAAGATTAATATAGAATGAAGATTTTATGAATCCTCTGAAAAATGTGACGAATACTTTATTATTTTATTTATTTATTTTAACTGAACACAGATATTAGTACAAGGAGGCACCAAATACATATGCGCCACACAGATCTCATTTGATATGTGTGAGGGCTGGGATACTGCCCGGGTGCCCAAACCGAAGCAGGACGAATAATTTAACCGAATTCATTCATTTATGTATAAATCTTACTACTAATATTTAATGATTAGTTAACATATAATCAAAATAGGGGGAAATACATTCATAGATTGTACAAAGAAATAATATAGAACACAAACTGTATGTTAGAATGAATGAAATTCACATCATCATCGTAATAATAATACCAGATGAATATTATTATATCAGAAGTAACTATTGGACAAGAATCATATTGAGTTATTAAACAGTTTTATTCTATCCTAACACCAAGTGTACACAAGCAAGTGTAGTTTGATAATGAATCTTTAATAATAATAACTCATTAGGTTGAATTATTATTACAATCACTATTATTATTATTATTATTATTATTATTATTATTATTATTATTATTATTATTAGTTGACAATAATAGTTGGAAAATATGGGGCATGACATTAATCACTTATATTCAATCTAATTCATTCTTGGAAAGAATCAATCAATGTTTCTATGCACATTATATTTACTACCAGGTTACAGAGATAGAATTTATAGACTCTTAATATCCTATTGATTGTCTACAAAAGTATCTAACAATGAATCAACCCATTAAACCATTGATTGTATTGAATCAATTAAAGTTTCCGGTGTTCAATAAGTCCGTGTTGTATCCAACACTGTTAAGCAATTTTACGTCTATTCAATCAATGAGTCTTGGAAACTATAATTCATTTCAAAAGCTAATTTTCACCATATTTGCTTATAACAGATAGTTACGGATACTTTTAGAAGCTTGAAATAAAATCTTTAATGAAAATTACACTCTAGAATGTAATGTTCACCCACTAAAATAAACAGAAATTCAGTCGAATATTGTTGGATACAACACATACACTGGAAATCGAAAACATTGAAGATAACTTCAACCAAAGTAGTTTTTTCCATAAAGTGAAAAAAAACTATGATTTCAGATTTAAATAACTAAAAGAAAATTACAAAACAGTACATAATTTTAATATTAAATTATAAGTGGAAATATATGCAAAGATGGAAGGTGGTCAGCAGTGGAATCCAAGACTCTGTTTATAATCCTTGTGACTTAAGGCAATATAGAGGCAATATGCACTGGATTCAGATATATATATACCGAAAAAGATTGATTCATTGCGGTCCTACAACTCAATGGTAATATTCAAACAATCAGTACAAATGAGTAATTGAAATTAAAAACAATTATTCATAGTGTATGTGTATTCTTTAAATAAAATAAAAAATAATAATAATAAATAGACACACATACCTCTAAGCTAAAATAACCTCTGTCAACATAATCTCCAAGAAATAGATAACGTGTTGTTTCAGGAGGACCACCAACTTCGAAAAGTTTCATTAGATCATAAAATTGACCATGTATATCACCGCAAACTAAAATAATAAGTAGATATACACATACAATATTATCATGATTTTAAAGCTTAATATTATAATTTGTTTTAAATTATAAATGAATGAATTGAGGAGTAGTTTATTAGAATCTTATCAACATTTATTTTCACAGATTGAAATCATAAGTCAATTGAAGCTAGACCACCATGGAATACCTGGAAGCATTGGACGGCCGTTTCGTTCTATTGCGGGACTCCTCAGCAGTGCGCATCCACGGTCCCGCACCCCACGAGATTCGAACCCAGGACCTATCAGTCTCGTGCCAGGCGCTGCTGAGGAGTCCCATACTAGGACGAAACGACGGCCCAGTGCTTCTAGGTTTTCCATGGTGATCTAGCTTCAATTGACTCATGATTTCAATCTGTGAAATTTCTAAAATCTCCACAAACCCCTTCTGATAATATTTATTATAACAGTAATGTCAAATATTTAACTAATTTGTAGATTAAGCAAACACGGAAAATTACCATCAATATTCAATACTTAATTTATCACGTCAAGAACATTTGCAAGCAATAATAATAGTAATAATAAAGACGTGATTCATTTATGATTTTCAACGGTTAAATGATTCATTGATAAACATTATACACAAACTAAGCTAAAAACCATTAGGTAAAGTAGTTTGAAGAGATTCTTGTAATACGTAAATATTCTAGCTTGAAGAAGTGACTTTAGTCAGATAATGATTGTAAATCAATTAGGAATAAGTAGTTAATTTGCATGACGTTTTATAACCTTACGTACAAATAAATTCCCAATCAGGAAGAAACACTTTCACAAGCCTTCAGAGTGAATGCTGCATTTCAGTCTTGTTATTCTCAAAATGTTTATTTTTTATACAGAATTCACAACTGAATATTGATTATTATCATTATAGGGATTTGTGGAAAGTGTAGTATTTTAATAATGGATCTAATCGATCTAAGCTAGACAATTATTGAAAAACTGTAAGCACTAGGGGTCGTTTCGTCCTAATGTAAAGCGCCTCAGCAATGAACATCCAGGACTCCCTACACAAAAGCTTCACCTTTAGATCACTGAGCCTGGATAAAACGATGTTGATGTCTAATTCTAATCAATCCATGATCTCGCGCAAGATGGTGGATGTGCGCAGCTGAAGAGCCCCTTACTAGGACGAAACCGCCGCTAAGTGCTTTCAGGTTTTCAACAGCGATCTAACTTAGATTGACTGATGAATTCAACAGTTTGAATATTAATTATGTCTAAATGTATAATATGATCACTTCAAATGGTTTAATTCAACAAAAATTTGTAATTATGTTAAGAGATGTACACACTTTTATATTTCAAGTATAATCTACTGATGTAGATGTTAAAATCCACGAGTACAATTGGCTAAGAAGAAAGTACATAAAAGATTATGTAATGATTTAAAGTGTGACTTTTATATTGAATTAATTCAGTGTAAAATTTCTATTCAGTAAAGCATTCATTTGTATTCATTAATCCCATGTGATTTTTTTTATTCATTTAGCATAATATTTATTTGTATTAAATTATATTTAGAAATTCGTTTAGTGTAACCAATTTCTATCAAAAATAATCATAATGAATAACTTTATTGAGAAATGAATATATTCGAATGATCAGTATTCTGCTTGAATGTTTTTTTTAGTGGGACCCTTTATTTTGTTGTCGTTTTGATCGGACAATGTTTGTTGATGGGCTCTCCACTTCAGTGGCCCAAGATCTGACTCCAAGTAAATCATATGAATGATTGTTATTGAAATATATATGTCGCCTATCCTCGTATATGTGTATATAATCATCGATTTAAATTGCGTTAGTCAATAACGGGATTAAATAAGTCAAATAACGAGAACTGACTTTTGAATACATATGTTTTGTATTTGAAGCGAACAAAATAGAGAGCAGAGAAACGACACGCAGTAGAGATGGCGTGCAAGCCAACTCCATTTAGTCGAGCGTTAATCAATATTTATAGTCACACAAAAATAACTTACAGACACGAGATGAATAGGATAAGAAATGTACTCACACATATGAGCTCATATAGAAACAGTTAAGATTGATAAGCGAATAATTAACAAGGTCAAAATGTAACTCAACTAGAATGAATAGATTGGCCTATCCGAAAGCAATAATAAGATATATGGGCTTAACAGGTCAACCGACACTACAGTTTGACAAAAAATCATCTAGACAATTTAGAACTTCCATCTTTACTTAGCCGGCAAGGTGAAAAAGAATAGGGATTGATTTCATTCAATACTATTAAAACTAGATTTGGTTATCATTAACTCAATGTGAAAACGTATTACCTACTTAGTATAATTGTTATACCAGAGACTCAATATAAAAAGTAATTATGAAATATCAAAAAACTTTGTCACAATCAGGAGAAATTTTGACCAGTGAACATCATGGTTACTTTTATCTAACCATTTATTATCTTATGAGTTAAATTATACGAGTTGATAGTCTTATTTTAGTAATGTTATATTTATCGTCAATTAATCAGTGGCTCTTTCGTTCGTAATCTGTCCAGTTGAGAGATTTAGGGAGAGTGTTTCATGAGCAAACTACTACATGTAAGACAACTTTAATTTCACTAATTCTACCATTATGACATTTGTAAACCACTGTATCGGAATATAGCTAACTCTGAAGGAAATCATAGATACGTACACTATGTAAGCATTACAGAAAATATGGAAATTGTCCAGTATAGATTGGGTTTTTTTTAAGTACTTTACTGAAATAGTGTTATAGTAATGAATAGTTTTGATTTTGCCGTTTAAAAAAAGAGAAACAAAATGAACAGACTTCTCTGAAGCAGCACACCTGACATGGTAAAAAAAAAGAGGATAATTACAGGAAGTCAACAACTAATCTTGGTAATATCAAAAATGGTATTCACGATATTATATATATATATATATAAATATTATACACTATCAGATATTGTAACCCATTGAGACTAGTGAAAATCACCTAACAATTCTGTTAGATATAATTACATAGTTTTTAAACATTACAAAAAATGAAACCAAATTCTTTACAAATTATTCGAAGCAATACAATTTGATAGACAATTTTCACTTCCACCAAAACACAATAAAAAAGAATTTTGGTTAAGAACGCAAATGTTTCATTTAACGGTATATGAGTATGAACGTCTTAAGTTTCGTCTGTATGAATAATTAACTATTTTTACTGTATTCTAAATCATGAACTGATCATATTTGAATAATCATTAAAAGCCAAGGAATAATAGACAGTGTCTTTGTATTATTATGGGACTCCAGTCAGTAGTTTGCATTGACTACTCTATCATAACACGATCAGTCCCAGAATGTTTCAGATGTTACAAAAAAACGCTTAACCTCCCGATCATCAAGTTAGCATCTAACGACTTAGTTCTAAGTCTAATTCATTCATTATATCGTGCAGCTTTCATTATAATTGATGAGTAACTGTCTCACAGTTAACATAGTTGAACTCCACTGGTCATAGTCTCTCAGTAGAACTCCTCGGAAAATTATCACCTATAACTAGTCACCAATCAGCACGTAATGATTACGAGAGTAAGGAATTTTACAAATAGTTGAAATTTATTATAGTTTACACCATGGATTGATTTTAGTCAGACAACGATCGAAAACTAGGATATACCACCAAACAGCCCTCCCCCTTGTGGCTTACTAATGATAATCAATGGCTTGTATTAGGTTTCCTTTGGTTGTAAAAAACATTCGAACTATAAAACAACGACTAATGACCATTGTAATTTAGATAGATTCGTTACTATTTTATAGAGATACACTACAATGACTATCGTAGCACATCTAGCACAGTGTTACTACAAAATTCTCGTGATTTTCGCGTACTAAAACAAAACACTTAAAACAGACAACTCATTATCAAAACAATAGTATAACACTGTTCAATTACAACTCAGAACAAATCCACCGTTATTCTTATTGTGTATTTTTTCTTCTTCCAAAATTATCTTAGCAAGGTGTTATAACTTGTGGATCTGTGTGCCCTGTATATTGAGTAACGCAACGATACCACCAATAATAGAGCAGCGAATTATCGATTGAACCAGTGACCAGCCTAGAATCCTGATTAGTCCTGCTTTCCACCTAGCCCAGCCAGATAAGTACAGAACACAAGTCTCAGCCTCTGCGATGTGAATCATTTGTTTCAAACATACTGAGTTTATATACCAATCAAACAGACCACAACGTACCATAAAATATAAAATAACATTTGTACAAGAATTAGCCAAAAGTGGTTGTGAATGTGGGAGATAGTAATTAACAGGCAGGCCATAACTCAAGAATGGTAAATCGTATAATAATAGTCTATGGGTCAAATTAAAGCTTATAATAAGAGCGACATGAATATGAACAGTTTGGTTACATAACAATTATACGATAAAAGCATACTCATAATATCGGTCCATAAATGGATCCCAAAATTTACCATTCATTATTCTTATCGGGATATAACACAAGGTTATACAAACCTCCATATTGTTGAGTTTGTTTATTTATAAATTATTTATATTTCTTGAAAAACAATCGATACATCACTTACAAATTTCTGCTCATCTGTTCTTTTTTATTGTCTCTATCTATCTTTCGTGATCGCTTTATACCATTCATAGATAATTTGTTGTGGTCACTATACTGGATGGCATACATGCAAGCATAAGTTCTTTTATAGGTTGTACACTGTATACATATATATATATATATATATATATATATATTCTCTCCTCTTTCTCATCTTCCTCCCTTTTCCAATTTATAGATACGTATTTATCTTACATACTTTTGATACGGATCATAATAATTAGTGATCGAACTAACTAAACAATTGATCTATTCATTGGAAAATATGAATCAATAAAAATAAAAATTCCAGTAGAAAATGTTTTGGAATTTTCTTCTATTCGAAAATATTCCAAACTGTTTTACTTGTAA